AAACAACCTCATCAACCTAACCCTAACCCAAATAAAAAAGTACAGAAGTAAAAAGACTAAAATGATCGTCCATTCAACCATAATTAAAGGTGGGGTAGATAAGTTTGAGAAACCGGCTCGAGATACACTTTTTGTTATATTCCATGGAATGCTCTTAACATCCCGATAGCAATGAATATCTTAAGTGCTTTGACAAACAATCCATAAAAAAAATCATCTGTGGAAGCTGTAGTACTGTAAAAAGCACGACCAATCATTTTAGCCGCCGGCTAAAATAACTGGATGGCCTACCTGCCTGTCAGCCTTCCATCTGTGCACAAACTTATCTCGTGCCCTCATTGGTCATGTGCGCGTTCGTGTGTGTTGGAGGAGGGGCTCTGTAAGGAAGTGGCAGATTTTTTCCGGCTGTGTATTTTCAAATCTAGCGCACTCGAGCTGGTTTCTCCAAAATTACCTACCCCACCTTTAAGCCAAACACAAAATTAACAATTAAGCAATTCCTCAAGAGTAAATACCATACTTCTACTACAAATACAAAGTCAATCATGCAAAGTCCTTGTCTGAAATAAGTTTAGCCTGTCCTTAATTCCTTATATTTCAACTGTTTTACCCTGTGACCTCTGTTTGTTCTCCCTCTCTCTGTTTGTCTGGGCGTCGCCCTCTGTTCCACTCCTGATGCTAATCAACCTGCACACCTCTGCTCATCAATCCTCAACATTATATAGACTCCGGCTCTACGTGGCAGTCTTCTTTGCCACTTTTTCAGTATGCGGTTCATTATCATCTTGTCTGGCTAGCATCTCAACACCTTGTCATTCTGTTTCCCAGCCGGCCGCCCTGCTCTGCTCCACCGTGAGACTCTGGCCCAGCTCACCTTATCTTGGTCTCTGACTGATTTGAATGAACTCTGCTGTTAACCAGACCTTTTCTGGAGCTCTGCTTTTGGGCCAAAGACAGTAACTGAGCAAGACAAAATTGTCTGTATACATGAAAACTGTATAGTTGACGTTTCTTAAAAATACCTTTTCATAAAGTCACAAATGTTCTAAATATGCTGCATAGCTATTTCACCCCATGACACTTAAAATACACATGAAATGTTCATGGATTGGTCAATTCATCACAGTGTTGTATTAAAATAGCTTTCGTAAAAAAAAAGCTTAGATTGCATGAAAAGGGCTATGAAAACAAAACCTCTTAAATTTCATTTTAAATGTTTCCTCACTTGATGGAAGAATTACCCATTTGCCACGGTAGCAAGAAAATAATTCGAGCACTCCATTCTGTCCCTCTCTTATCTGCAGGTATTCACTTTTGAACCTGCCATTGAACATGTTTGTGTATTTCTTTCTGTTTTCCAAGGTCTTGCAAGACTGTAGAATACTTCACATGTCTTACTTTCTCAAATTTAGAGTGTGTCAATTAATGAATAGTATTAAATGGTAATCAGAAAAAAAGCAAAAGGTGGGGTCAGACATTTGGTGGATTAGTAAATACTCAACAGGCCAAAAGTGAGCTGTTGTAGCAGGAGAGCTAACACGCTAGTTTTCCACAAGCCACCATAAAGCTTCTCTCTATGTTCTCTCTACTGCTTGATAAGTCTTCCTGGCGTTTTGTTTATCATTGCATATTGTTTTGATCAATACAAAGTCATATAAGTCATTAAAGAGGAAATTAAATCTCACTAACATCTTACCAACGTCCAGCATACTCATTAATTAATCAATCAATTCATTTTGCCCTTCGCCAAAGTATCTACACAGTTCTGTATCTGATTCAAACTGTTATGTTATTGTTGGTGTAAGGTATTTGTTTTTCCTGCCAGGTGCTGGGTCCACCACGGAAATACTTTGCTTTGGTAAACAAATCAAAGCACATGCAAAGTTGTGTCCTCAAACCAACTTGACATGTAAGGGATACCATTGTAGAGAAGACACAGCGGAGAAGACACTTGCAGTTCGATCTACAGAGCAGAAATGGAGATAACCATCCTCTTACTTGTTCTTTGTACAGCTGTTGAGGGGGATACAGGAAAACACATTTTTGTCCCCGAGGAGATGATATGGAGCGATGCTCAGTTTTACTGTAGAGAACAGTACACTGATCTTTCCTATGTTAGAAGCAGAGATGGGGTCGTTACTAAAAAAAAGTAATATATTACATATTACATATTACTTTTTTTAAAAAGTAATATATTACACTACTTCGTTACTCTCTACATAAAGTAACTCGTTACTTTACTCGTTACTTTACTCGTTACTTTACTCGCAGGGCCGGCCCGCCCCTCCCTACAGGCAGATCACACAGATTGCTAAAGTTTTCAAATGTTCTCTTTAGTTCAGTTTCCATTGTCGCATAAGACTGATCCAGATAGCTCTGACCATGGCTGTCCTCTGTCTCCTGCTATCTGTAATTTGCGCAGTATATCTCTGAACGATGCGATGGTGATTCCACTGTGCAAATGGGCAACATTTCCTCTACTATGAAGGATGCTACAAGCCTGTCCATCTCTGCTTTGGTTACCGGTCATTTTTGCTGCTTCGGAGTCGGCGGCGGTGCACTCACAACATCCTCACTCTGGGTTCGGGGGTCCTTAGCTATTAGCTTCACCTTAGCATGTGTTCTTTGCAGGTGTTTGTTGAGGTTTGACGTGGTGTTTACAGCAGTGGATTACAGCTTCTGGCCTGGACACAGTTTGCACCTCACCGTCACATTCCTGTCTATTCTTCGGACGAACTCAAAATAATGGGCATACCTCCACCCCTCGAAAGTTATCGCTGACTCTGCCATGTTTATGCAGCACTGCATGTGGAGATGTGGACGCGCAAGTCGCGCAGATTACGTACATATAAACCTGCGGCGGAAACCCCTCTTGTCTGTCAGTGTGATTATGACTGATTTTATAAAAGTAACGAAGTAACGCGTGTCGGGGCAATGTTAGTAACTCTAGTGTGATTACTGAATTATAAAAGTAACGCGTTACACTACTCTGTTACCGACAAAAGTAATATTATTACAGTAACGCGTTACACCCAACTCTGGTTAGAAGCCAGAGTGGTGTCGACAGGCTTCGAAAAGCTGCAAGTGGAAGCAATCCCCAAGGATGGATTGGTCTACATCAGACCTGGGCATCGTACGGCCCCCGGGCCACATACGGCCCTTTGGTTGACTCTGACCGGCCCGTGTAAGGCTAATTGGAAATTACAAAATAAACATATTTTCTAACTTTACCTCATGCATGGACTAAAGCTGCATTGCTTTTATTTTGAAGTTGTTTTTTATTCACGTGCATAATGACGCAATACGTATATCAAGACGTGCACATTATTGGATCCTTGTCACAAGACGACTTTAGCCCTCAAAAAAATGTCCGCTAAAAAAAGAAAGGTAGATGCTGAATGCAGGGTTTTCAACAAAAATTGGACTGCTAAGTATTTATTTACTGAAGTCGGAGGTAAAACCGTGTGTTTAGTTTGCGGGGAGCAGATCGCCGTGTTTAAGGAGTACAATGTGAGTCGACATTACGAGACGAAACACGCGGAGAAATATAAAAACTTGACTGACGCTGAAAGGGCGCGGACATCGGAAGCTTTGCTAGCTAAGCTGCAAAAGCAGCAAGGCTTTTTTACCAAGCTTCACACATCCAGTGATGCAGCAACCATGACCAGCTTTGTGATATCCCACAAAATTGCTAAAAACAGTAAGCCGTTCTCGGAGGGGGAGTTTGTCAAAGAGTGCTTGGTGGACTCTGCAGCACTAATATGCCCTGAAAAAAAAGCCGCATTTGAGCAAGTCCCGCTGTCCAGGCGAACCGTGACTAGAAGGATCGAGGACATTGCGGGGAATCTGGAGCTTCAGCTGCAACGTGAAGTGGCAAGTTACGACTTTTTCTCCTTGGCTTTGGACGAGAGCTGTGATGTCCGCGACACAGCCCAGTTACTCGTATTCGTCCGCGGGATAACACCGGACTTCAAGATTACGGAGGAGCTGGCAGCAATGCGGTCGATGAAAGGGACGACGACAGGGAGCGATCTGTTCACGGAGGTAAACGAGTGCATGGACACGCATACATATGTGAACAAACATTTTCAATTATGAAGTTTACGAAATCCAGATATCGATCCTCTCTCACTGATGATCATCTGTCAGCTGTGCTTCGCATCTCCACCTCAGACATTCAACCTGACTTTGATGCACTCGTTAAAGCCCAGCAGAGACTAGATTTCTCTCACTGAACAAGAAAAGAGAACTTAAAAACACCAAATGAGGTGGTTAGACTACAAATGTTGGCATGTAAAGGCACCAACTAGCAGTGAACTGGGACACTTTCTTTGGAAGCCTTTTTCTCAAAATCACAGTTCAGTGATGTTTAGTGACAGTTCAATATGATGTATCTTGCTTAATATTTGGAGTACAAAGACAATATTGTGATGTCTTTAGAATGCTAAGAACCTCTTTCCAACAGTAAATGAAACTCAAAATGTGTTTGAGTGAATGTGACTGAAAATGTTCACTAATATGAGTCACAAATGGTGAAAAACGTTCATTTTGTTTACCATTGTTTTGGGAAATTTGATTTAATAAATGACATTTTTTTGTAAGGCAACCTCACTTTTTCATTGCTTAACTATAACATATACTCTTACCAGCTTGTCAAAACAATGCTATTTACTGCTTTTTATAAAGAAATACAATTAATATTATGCAGAATTGAGTTCAGCCTTTTGGCCCGGCCCTCCACAATATTTTCAGTTTCTGATGTGGCCCCATGGAAAAAATAATTGCCCACCCCTGGTCTACATCGAGATCTTAACAACCGTACTGGCTGGAAGTGGTCCGGAGGAGGACACATGACCTTCCAAAACTGGGGCCAGGGACAACCAGATAATTATTGTAACATCGAGTCCTCTGTACATGTCTTTAATGAAAACGGAGAATGGAATGATGATGCAGAAACAACAAAGAAAGTTTTTTACTGCATCAATATTAACGTAGTGGAGATGAAGAAGACGTGGGAAAAAGCTCTGGAGCACTGCAGAGAAAATGAGTCTGACCTTACCAGCCTGCTCGATGAGACCGAGCACCTTCTGGCTTGGAAAGAGGCCCTGAAAGTTCGAGCTGAGCGGGTGTGGATCGGCCTGCGCTACCTGGGGGACCGCTGGCTGTGGGTGAATGGAGACCCTCTGCAGTACGAGGCCTGGCCCCAAGGAGACCAGGACCACCAGTGTCCAATATATAAACGCTGTGGAGCTTTAACCAAAGGGGGACTGTGGGAGAACTGGGACTGCAATGAACAACTCAACTTCATCTGCATCTGATAGATTAACATTATTATATCTAGTATATTCTGACTTGTACCTGCAATGTGCAACAACAAATCACTAACTGCATTGTGCTGTCTTGTGCATATTCATATCAAATATTATCGTTACTACACTGGAGTGCTTTTTCAGGAAAATGTTATGTAAACCTAAAATAATAGATTTAAAATGTCAGAGGAAATCAAGAAAGTGCCAGGTAAAAACAGTTTTAGAGTTTACCAGCAATGATATGAGTGGCTCAGGGATAGTGTGGCCAAATCTGAGTGGTGTAACTGAGAGAGGAAAAGCCCAGTCATCTGGTTGAGTAAAATCTATAAAGAGACAGATAGTGTAAATGAACGAGAGCAGAACGTGTATTCTTGACTGTGTGTGTGTGTGTCCTGTAAAGCCAATACTAAACATAAATGATCATGTGTTGTCTTGTTGCCTTGTTGCATTTGTTATTCTTCCTGGGGACCACATAAACAAACAACCTCATCAACCTAACCCTAACCCAAATAAAAAAGTACAGAAGTAAAAAGACTAAAATGATCGTCCATTCAACCATAATTAAGCCAAACACAAAATTAACAATCAAGCAATTCCTCAAGAGTAAATACCGTACTTCTACTACAAATACAAAGTCAATCATGCAAAGTCCTTGTCTGAAATAAGTTTAACCTGTCCTTAATTCCTTATATTTCAGCTGTTTTACCCTGTGACCTCTGTTTGTTCTCCCTCTCTCTGTTTGTCTGGGCGTCGCCCTCTGTTCCACTCCTGATGCTAATCAACCTGCACACCTCTGCTCATCAATCCTCAACATTATATAGACTCCAGCTCTACGTGGCAGTCTTCTTTGCCACTTTTTCAGTATGCCAACTTTACATTATTGCCTTGGGTAAACAAAAGGTTTATTTAGGTTTACGGTTCATTATCATCTTGTCTGGCTAGCACCTCAACACCTTGTCATTCTGTTTCCCAGCCGGCCGCCCTGCTCTGCTCCACCGTGAGACTCTGGCCCAGCTCACCTTATCTTGGTCTCTGACTGATTTGAATGAACTCTGCTGTTAACCAGACCTTTTCTGGAGCTCTGCTTTTGGGCCAAAGACAGTAACTGAGCAAGACAAAATTGTCTGTATACATGAAAACTGTATAGTTGACGTTTCTTAAAAATACCTTTTCATAAAGTCACAAATGTTCTAAATATGCTGCATAGCTATTTCACCCCATGACACTTAAAATACACATGAAATGTTCATGGATTGGTCAATTCATCACAGTGTTGTATTAAAATAGCTTTCGTAAAAAAAAAGCTTAGATTGCATGAAAAGGGCTATGAAAACAAAACCTCTTACATTTCATTTTAAATGTTTCCTCACTTGATGAAAGAATTACCCATTTGTCATGGTAGCAAGAAAATAATTCGAGCACTCCATTCTGTCCCTCTCTTATCTGCAGGTATTCACTTTTGAACCTGCCATTGAACATGTTTGTGTATTTCTTTCTGTTTTCCAAGGTCTTGCAAGACTGTAGAAAACTTCACATGTCTTACTTTCTCAAATTTAGAGTGTGTCAATGAATGAATAGTATTAAATGGTAATCAGAAAAAAAGCAAAAGGTGGGGTCAGACATTTGGTGGATTAGTAAATACTCAACAGGCCAAAAGTGAGCTGTTGTAGCAGGCGAGCTAAAACGCTAGTTTTCCACAAGCCACCATAAAGCTTCTCTCTATTTTCTCTCTACTGCTTGATAAGTCTTCCTGGCGTTTTGTTTATCATTGCATATTGTTTTGATCAATACAAAGTCATATAAGTCATTAAAGAAGAAATTAAATCTCACTAACATCTTACCAACGTCCAGCATACTCATTAATTAATCAATCAATTCATTTTGCCCTTCGCCAAAGTATCTACACAGTTCTGTATCTGATTCAAACTGTTATGTTATTGTTGGTGTAAGGTATTTGTTTTTCCTGCCAGGTGCTGGGTCCACCACGGAAATACTTTGCTTTGGTAAACAAATCAAAGCACATGCAAAGTTGTGTCCTCAAACCAACTTGACACGTAAGGGATACCATTGTAGAGAAGACACAGCGGAGAAGACACTTGCAGTTCGATCTACAGAGCAGAAATGGAGAGAACCATCCTCTTACTTGTTCTTTGTACAGCTGTTGAGGGGGATACAGGAAAACACATTTTTGTCCCCGAGGAGATGATATGGAGCGATGCTCAGAATTACTGTAGAAAACAGTACACTGATCTTTCCTATGTTAGAAGCCAGAGTGGTGTCGACAGGCTTCGAAAAGCTGCAAGTGGAAGCAATCCCAAAGCATGGATTGGTCTACATCGAGATCTTAACAACCGTACTGGCTGGAAGTGGTCCGGAGGAGGACACATGACATTCCAAAACTGGGGCCAGGGACAACCAGATAATTATTGTAACATCGAGAATTCTGTACATGTCTTTAATGAAAACAGAGAATGGAATGATGAAGCAGAAACAACAAAGAACGCTTTTTACTGCATCAATATTACCGTAGTGGAGGTGAAGAAGACGTGGGAAAAAGCTCTGGAGCACTGCAGAGAAAATCAGTCTGACCTTACCAGCCTGCTCGATGAGACCGAGCTCCTTCTGGCTTTGAAAGAGGCCCTGAAAGTTCAAAGTGAGCGGGTGTGGATCGGCCTGCGCTACCTGGGGGACCGCTGGCTGTGGGTGAATGGAGACCCTCTGCAGTACGAGGCCTGGCCCCAAGGAGACCAGGACCACCAGTGTCCAATATATAAACGCTGTGGAGCTTTAACCAAAGGGGGACTGTGGGAGAACTGGGACTGCAATGAACAACTCAACTTCATCTGCATCTGATAGATTAACATTATTATATCTAGTATATTCTGACTTGTACCTGCAATGTGCAACAACAAATCACTAACTGCATTGTGCTGTCTTGTGCATATTCATATCAAATATTATCGTTACTACACTGGAGTGCTTTTTCAGGAAAATGTTATGTAAACCTAAATTAATAGATTTAAAATGTAAGAGGAAATCAAGAAAGTGCCAGGTAAAAACAGTTTTAGAGTTTACCAGCAATGATATGAGTGGCTCAGGGATAGTGTGGCCAAATCTGAGTGGTGTAACTGAGAGAGGAAAAGCCCAGTCATCTGGTTGAGTAAAATCTATAAAGAGACAGATAGTGTAAATGAACGAGAGCAGAAAGTGTATTCCTGACTGTGTGTGTGTGTGTCCTGTAAAGCCAATACTAAACATAAATGATCATGTGTTGTCTTGTTGCCTTGTTGCATTTGCTATTCTTCCTGGGGACCACATAAACAAACAACCTCATCAACCTAACCCTAACCCAAATAAAAAAGTACAGAAGTAAAAAGACTAAAATGATCGTCCATTCAACCATAATTAAGCCAAACACAAAATTAACAATCAAGCAATTCCTCAAGAGTAAATACCATACTTCTACTACAAATACAAAGTCAATCATGCAAAGTCCTTGTCTGAAATAAGTTTAGCCTGTCCTTAATTCCTTATATTTCAGCTGTTTTACCCTGTGACCTCTGTTTGTTCTCCCTCTCTCTGTTTGTCTGGGCGTCGCCCTCTGTTCCACTCCTGATGCTAATCAACCTGCACACCTCTGCTCATCAATCCTCAACATTATATAGACTCCAGCTCTACGTGGCAGTCTTCTTTGCCACTTTTTCAGTATGCCAACTTTACATTATTGCCTTGGGTAAACAAAAGGTTTATTTAGGTTTACGGTTCATTATCATCTTGTCTGGCTAGCATCTCAACACCTTGTCATTCTGTTTCCCAGCCGGCCGCCCTGCTCTGCTCCACCGTGAGACTCTGGCCCAGCTCACCTTATCTTGGTCTCTGACTGATTTGAATGAACTCTGCTGTTAACCAGACCTTTTCTGGAGCTCTGCTTTTGGGCCAAAGACAGTAACTGAGCAAGACAAAATTGTCTGTATACATGAAAACTGTATAGTTGACGTTTCTTAAAAATACCTTTTCATAAAGTCACAAATGTTCTAAATATGCTGCATAGTTATTTCACCCCATGACACTTAAAATACACATGAAATGTTCATGGATTGGTCAATTCATCACAGTGTTGTATTAAAATAGCTTTCGTAAAAAAAAAAGCTTAGATTGCATGAAAAGGGCTATGAAAACAAAACCTCTTACATTTCATTTTAAATGTTTCCTCACTTGATGAAAGAATTACCCATTTGCCACGGTAGCAAGAAAATAATTCGAGCACTCCATTCTGTCCCTCTCTTATCTGCAGGTATTCACTTTTGAACCTGCCATTGAACATGTTTGTGTATTTCTTTCTGTTTTCCAAGGTCTTGCAAGACTGTAGAATACTTCACATGTCTTACTTTCTCAAATTTAGAGTGTGTCAATTAATGAATAGTATTAAATGGTAATCAGAAAAAAAGCAAAAGGTGGGGTCAGAAATTTGGTGGATTAGTAAATACTCAACAGGCCAAAAGTGAGCTGTTGTAGCAGGCGAGCTAACACGCTAGTTTTCCACAAGCCACCATAAAGCTTCTCTCTATTTTCTCTCTACTGCTTGATAAGAAATGAGAGATTATTGTATATGTATGTATAAATGTAAATGTAAGTAGGAATAACTTGCATAATGACTTAAAGGACAATCATTGATCAAGTAAGGGGTGGGAATTAATAAGCATTTGCTTCCTCCTACTCCCTTTCGGACACATATGATTTTTTTTTTTAATTATTATTATTATTATTATTAATATGAAGACTTTTTTTGTTGAATATATAAATATGATTGTGAATGTGGATAAATACTGTATTTTAACAATACGGTATTCTGTTTTTCACATTTGTTATTTTTTATTTGTTATTTGTTTTTTGTTTTTTTAATCTGTTCGAAAAATAAAGATTGAAATGAAATGAAATGAAATAAGTCTTCCTGGCGTTTTGTTTATCATTGCATATTGTTTTGATCAATACAAAGTCATTTAAGTCAT